TAGCTGTCACAAACCGGCTAAATCAAACCGCGTTTGCAATTTTCATGTAATACTGTTGTTTCATCCCGAGCGACCACTCTTTTCAAAGATTTTCATAACCTCTGATACCGTTTCAAACTTTTATTTATTTTAGTTTGCATGTTATTTTCTTTTTATGGGCACATGTATTTTGATATTTTGAGACCATACGCCGCTTTTTTATAAATTGATACGAACCGGTCACATTGAAAGTCCAATGAAAACCACCGTATGAACTCATCTGTTGATATCCCATGATGAATTCTGCTTAAGTTGAAGCTAGGAGGTGTGGACAGTTGCTCGCAATTACCAGTACCGGTCATGATTGTCCTAATCAAACCGAGCCTGTAGCATTTCTAATTGTGCCGTTCTGGGCATTCTTTTTTAAAATCAAACTATACCATGCTTACTTTTGTTCAGTTGGTTAACCCTAAAGATTAGATTTTTTAGCCAAATGCCGTCTAATATCAGTTTGTTTCCCTGTAACATTTACAGTCTATTTTTGTTTAGTTGGAATCCCGTTCACAATGATACGACGGTGAAAGCGTGATGGCGCCATGGTACGATGATGAAACGCGATGGTCCGATGGTGAAAACACAATGGTACGAACCGAACGTGTAACAACGATTGTATGATGGTGAGACAACGATAGTACGAAGACATTTATCGCCGGTGCTCTTCACAATGTACTTGAATGACATAGAGTTAAAAGCACATTAATAAATACTTCAAATATTGTCCGCTTTCCCTATCGAATGCAGAAACACTAAAATCCAAAACATAATCGTCATTGCATTATTATAATCATTATATAAAATAGTCATTTAGCAGGACATTTTTAAAAATATGGAAGTCTATTCATATTTACCTAAAAGATAAAAATTGCAATAATTTGCTATATTTTTTTGTTGAGAATATTGACATGTTCAAATAATAGTCAACATCTTCTATGCATTGTATTACCAAATAACATTACCATGTCAATTTAGCCTGAAATCATGTAAAACTGGTCAAAACTGTCACATTTAATTATTTAATATGTTCATGTACGAAATGAAACATATGACTTACTAAGTTGCCGTATACTATCCTATGTGTTGTTGTTCTTCAGCGTAAGACCTTGATATCTTTTTTTACATACTGTTTAAGTTTATCTTTTTCATAATTCTCCGTTGTTCTTCATAACTGATATTTTGTATTATTGCTTATTTTCAAGTTATTTTTCAGATTTCTCCGGTCAGTTGTTTTTGTGTATCGTATCCTCTTAGCATATACACATAACGTATCGTACAAATGACCACCTTTTACCACGATCCAGGTTTCCTAGATAGCAGCTACGCTCTGTTGACTCAGAATTTCAATCTTTATTTTGATAATCTTACCAGGTTTCCTCAGAAACTTAGGTACATAGGACTTACTGATATCATTTGTTTGCCGACTTATAATAAGTATTTTTTTCAATTGTAAGTATATGAGGGAAGTTGAATTTACGAGCTTTTACTAAACTTTTACACTTTTGTCATTTCCTTCGAGGTATGACAGCTTAGTTAGTCTACCGCCTCCGTGGTCGAGGGGTTAGAGTCGATGACTTCTAATCCAGTTACCTCTCTGGCGTGGGTTCGATCCCCGGGAGATGCTTTGGTAGTTTAGCGCGGAGGAAGGTAGTCTAGTACTGGTGTAACTCTCCAGGAACGATGGTTAGGAAACTACTCGCCTATATGACTGAAATACTGTTGGGAAAAGGCGTAAAATGAAACAAACAAACAAACAAACAAGCTTAGTTAGTAAAAATACTGTTAAATACAGCAGATATTTGTTAAGTATTTCTCTAATTCAATTGAATGTTATCCGCTCTTTAAATAAACTAACTAACAGGTTATTTCCTATCTAGAATAAGTACTTTTGTACATTATTCCAGATGTTTTGTAAATCATTTAATTTTGCAAAATTATACTAATCGTATGCACTGGCCATGAGAGAAGGTCCAGATATCAAATTCTGAAGAACTTGCTTTCACTGATGCCCAACTGGTAAGGAAAGTAATTCCAATACAAAAATGACTTACAAAACTTGTAATGTGACATGAGAGTAGTGCAACATTGTGCATCTATAATGTATCTCATCAACAACTAATCATGGTAAGAAATATAAAATTCCATATGTAAATAAGCAAAAGCAATAACTTTCATCGACTTTATTTTTCAAAATGTCCGTTACATGTTTCGCGTGAATGGTTTATCATGAATTGACAAGAAAAGCATTGATGCAAAGCACAAAAGGACGTCCTAGCAAGAAATGTAGCAATTTACGATGATCGAGTATAAATCTGATGACCAGATTTCATTTGATTTTACCAGAATTATATATCATAGATGAGTGGGCGAACAAAAGACATTGCTCATCAGGAACTGCGGTAGCTAGAAATGTATTTTTTTGTAACTCAAAATAAACAAAATATAAAATCTGTTTTTTAATCATCATAATTGTAACAAATTTACAAACAATATATAAAATTGTTAAAAAGAAACTAATATAGTAATAATACATGCCTTTACTTTATGCCAAATTAAAATAAAGATATTTATACCTGGGACTTAAGATAAAGTAGTTATATTTCAAGTCCCAGATAAAAACTGAAAGTAGGACACACAATGAAATGAAACATTTGGGATGAAATTCAAAAATACCAATTTCAAGATTTTATTTGTTATAAGCGATAACAAAAATAATGGTGCATAATATATAAATATATATTATATAAAAATCATGATTGTATTAATTTGCATGACATGCTGATTTTTTTGAAACATTATTGATTTATTTAATAGAAGTCTGTTACCTGAATTTTAGACTGGTATGAGAAAATTCACTTATTTGAGTCAAAGATATAAAACCTACTTGACATTAATGGTAAATAAAGAGTTATTTTTAATTGATTTAGTTGGAGATAAATCCACGATTTTGTTGAATTGCTACAAAATCCGCATCTGACCCTCCAGTGTGTTTACATTCCTGTCAATGAACCCATAACACCGCATGTTAAAACTGCAGACGAAAGTTTCTGTTATTAAAATGTTACAGTATTCGGCAAATCAACATTCCACTCAAACCACCATAAAACCGATCGCATTTAAACAAAATAGAAACTACTACTTACAGCAAAATTTGGGATATCAGGATCGATTTGAATATTAACTGTGAAAAAAATGTCAGAAGTACAACCAGGGCCGTCTCTTTATGTCAATATGGAAAGAACCTACAGAAAAGACGATTTAAAAAATGATACTACTATAATATAACAATTCGTAAGAATGGCCTACTTATTTGTTAACGATAAATTTATAAAGAGTGCAATTTATTGTTGAATATGTTTTCATTTTATTTCCTGCAAAATTCTCCAATTCGTTATTTATTACCATAGCGCAACACGAATGACCGTTTCGTTCCAGACTCGCAAAACAAAAGCTACTTTAAAAATAGCTTTTCGGATTTACAAAATATAGGTAATCTTTTTATAGCTTTCGAAATCATGTACAGCAATAAATTACATACATAACCCACTGTGTACTACAAAAAAATTATAAATTTCCTGTAGAAGATACAAATGTAAGAAAAACATAACCGATCATAAGTTTATTTTTTTGTGTTTTTCTTTTATACTGCCTTCCCAGTGACTGAGGCATGAAAGTAGTAAACACAAATAGCTTTGCCCCTTGTCAGTCAAGTGTAAAGAGTGTATTCTCTTTTTTGAACTAAACTATTTATGTCGAGGGCGGAAGCCACGGCCGTAAGGCCGAGATAAGTTGTCGGATGATCTAAATTGTAATGAAATAACCTCCTTGAAGTCATTATCAGGGTAGATAAACAATCTCTGAGCAAGGACGTCATACTTGATCTCGGTTGGTAAACTTTTGAAGACCTCTGTACATTCACTGATTATTTGTCTGACGGTGGTACTTGTATGTTTTCCGTCGTCATTTATTGGTAATTTTGACTCATTAACGTTGATGGTATTTGGGGAATTGGACCCAAGATATATCCGATGCCCAAATTGAGATACTACTCCAACGCCAAGTGTTACTAACTCACTGTCGTTTAACATTGCAACTGTCTTTAGGATATATAGGCAGTTTCGAGCCGGTATCACATAATCCACAATTGACTTCCCCTTACGGGCTGTCTGAAGTTCATCGTTGAGCCACGTTTTAAGGATTGGTTTACCATAGTTTATAATACGTGTGACCTGATATTCTTCAGCAATTGGTATTATGTCCAGAACATTGTCTCCTGTAATGATTGAAATAAATGTAGATAAAATTGAATATTTGTAAATCAATATACAAATCAAACAGACAAACAAAAAAAAACATTTTGAGGTTATAATCCCCTTACTGATAATGACTTTATACTAACTGTTGACAATTGTTGTCGTTCCTGGGTGAATGCACATTAGAAACTCTAAAAAGCCGTCATATTTCTTTCCTTTCAGGTCAACATTCCTCGTTTGTTTTTCCTTGAAATCTCCACGGAACATCGCTTCAAACACCGGCGACGCCAAAATTAAGAAATTTTGTGACACAAAGAGTACTTGTCCATCGTCAAATGTTAACGTGACTTCATCTTCACATTTTCCACTTTCTGTGAAAGGTTTAGATATTGTCTCAATGTCAACATTCTCGGGTACTATAGCAGGCGACACCGAACTAGTCATATTCTTTATGCTTAAATTAAAAGTACACAGAAACGACCATGTTAATATTCACAAAAGATATACGATAAACGTTAAGATACTACATGTATAATTGACTTTAAAACAGGTTAACAAGCGATACATGTCGATGCATGTGCCGTGAATCATAATTGCTGTCTATCAATACATTCCATTTCAGAATGCGTAAAATCTTGAGTTTTTATAAACAATATCCCCTTATAAGTCACACTGTTCGATATTTTATCAATTATATTTACTTTGGTAGCTTATAGTCGGTTGTATAGCTGACAGTATAAACCACACGCTTTGTATGTCAATCAATAATCATTCATTATGCAGAGAATATTTGAATGTAGTATTAAGCTTGATAAGTAGTAGCAATAGTCGTGATATTGTATTGTGTATACATGGTATTAAAGAAGTAAAATGTAATAGTCCAATAGAACACAGAATATAAATATTCAAATAACTCTTTACTCAGCTCTTCATTTTTAAAGCAGCACGCCTCCAGAGTCATGCTAATTTTCATGAAAATTTGAAAATGTGTTTAACAGTATAATATTATGAAGTTACCAAAATAATGTAATTTACACATTATCAATGGCACTTCCAACACACGTAAATTACAATAAAGAGAAAAATATGCAAAAAAATATCCCTTACTGCGTAAGTTACGCAGTTTAAATATAGTTATGAATACTGAAAAATCGGTCAATAATTGCTCATAATATGTAAATTATTACTAGAATTTTTAATCTTTATACTTTTTCTAAAATCTTATTACAATGAAACTGAATGAAACTGCGCTAAACTCTAGATACCGTACTATACGACAAAAAACCAATACCATACCATGTCACAAAATTTCCGACTTGTCACACATTATCTCAGGTTTGGATTTATCGAAATATTTTTGCTCATTTGGAGGAGTACAGCTTTAACTGCCATTAGATAAGTGTCAGTGCTTATTCGTGTACGTTGAGGTAACAGTCTTCAATCAGTTTCATCATAGGTCCAATCGCCTAATGAAAATAAAAATAAAACAACAACGCATTTGTCATTTTTCATTTATAAAGACACCTCAGTTTTTAAGTAGAACCCTTAATTGATAGCGCTTTTTTCTTCCTGTTCTGTTGTTAAGTTGAAAACTTCACTATTCCATCCCTTTGGTTTGCCAACACAATGATATCGGTCCATATCTGAATTTGTTTCGCTTTTTGTAAGATTTTTATGTCTGTGTGTTCCAATTTTGTTGCGGGGCATTTAAAAATACTTGTCAGTTGTTTGGCTGTTTTCGTTACCATTTTCAGAAACACAGATTAAAGATACACTATGCTCATTGTTAAGTAAAAAATTTTAATTCACAAAATTTATTGAAATCCATGAAATTCTTACTGAATATGTCTAATTTGAAGAAAAGAATAAATAAACTTGGTATTGGAAACTGTGTTTTCTGTTAATTTACAGGTCAAGCAAATCTGGTTGTTTCTTTAAAAATGTCAGTTTTTTAAGCCAATTTCATATTGTGACCACCTATATTGTGTAAAATTTAAAGCTTTACATATCTTCTTTGTATGAAGTCAAAACATGTTTATTTTATATTTACAAAGAGACTATGTAGCAATTATCAATATTTTTGAGCATTGTATTTATAAAGATATGTTTTGATTCTTATTGGAATATATTTAAGCGTATTAATTAAAGACAGCCCTTTACACGAGACTCTCTTTCCCTCAATAATCATGCCAAATTACTGCGTGTCATCAATCTATGTTAAAATTAACTAACATCTAAGTATATGAAAGGAAAGGTAAAAAAGAGAAAACAACAAGTCACAATAACTTTGTACTTTTGGCTTTTGTTATTTTATTGAATTGTAAAGAATCAATATAGAAGACACATGTGTCTAATACTTTAAGACAACGATGTTTTTTATATTTCATTTAAATTAGGGAGTAATGTATTATGTTGTTATTTAAACTTTATTCGCACGGAAAATGTGAATAAAGTTTTATTTACACTTGTAATTAAAAAGAAGACAGAATTTAATTTCTATTTAGAAATGGTAGTGCACGACCGTGCATATATTCTGTCACTTGTGCTTGCCAGAGGCTCGGAACTCGTTCAATAAATTTAGTATTGCACCTACATTAATTCAATACCCTTTATTCATTTACATTTTTTATCATTATTATTTATGTATAACTTTTTTATAATGCTTACCTTGATGAGACTTAGATATAATAAAAAGTGTATGTAGTTAGCAATTAATTTATCACTAGTAAAAGATTTGTGAAAATGCCAATTGATAGATCCTTACTCTGACATTTAATTTGCATAACTATAATAAGCCATAAACATGGACGCGTGCTCTTTTGTTTACAAACATGTTGTGATGAAATTCTTAGTGTAGTCACTAAACTGTTAATTAGAATTAGAAAGGTAAGGGATCTATGTTTTATGAATTGTTTCTGATGCAATGATTGTACTTATTCCCACAGCGTCGAAAGACAAATTTAAATTATTATATATACAGTAATAGTAGTACATGTACAATTGATACTTCATAGTTAATCCATCTCAAAATGCTATACAGTGAACTTGTAGATGATGTTATACAGGAAACAGGGGGATGTGGGGTATATCAGTATTTATCAACTAGTATTTGTCATTGGGAAAATGTAGTTGTAGTTTAGAACTACCATTTAAAGGCATTTTGTGGTCAGGACCCTCGGACAATTTTGGCGTCTAAAACCTTAATATAATGTAAAACTTTATTAGGGTCTTAAAAATATGAGGTATGCGTAAAAAATATGGGATCAAACATATACCAAGGTTACGTACATGAAAAGCATTCTGACAATTTTTTATGGTTACAAAAACGACAATTTTAGTGTCTCGTATTGTCCCACTTCTTCTGTCTCGCCTCGAAATTCGAAAAAGCGAAAACACGAAGAGACATCAACGTCAACATTGTCGTCCATTCCTTTTCACGCATTATTGCATTTTTGAGGCAAAGAAGCGAGAACTCGACAAGAAGTAAATCAGCCACCATAGAGACCTCTCAATACCGAAGTGCAAGTCCTTTTACTCGACCTTTGCTCCTAATTTATAAATTAACTTCCATCCTCAATAATTGTTTAATGAATACAAACAATATCTAAAAGAAGAAAATACATGGTTTGAAACTGTGGAATATGTACCGAACATGGCTACCAGAGGTATTTACTTCTGAATGAAAAAGTACAATCACACAGTGTGACATTTCTTTGCAATAGCTTCATTTTCCTTTGAATTCTTTTAATCAGATATACGTTATTTCTTTCATATAGAAATTATATTATTGTGTTTAAAAAAAATTATGTTTGCTTATTCTCAATATTTCTTTCAGTGGAGTTTAGTTAGCGAATTACAATGGTTACCGACTATAAGTTTTTTTAACCGATTTTGTTTTAAAACTTTCGAAAGAAGGCGGATGCAGCTTTGCGATTTTTACGATGTTACCCGATACCAGTCTGAATTTATATATTGACTAGTATTCATAATTCTTAATATAATATGATTTATATTGGCAAGCACCTGTTTATAATTAAATTATATTTATGCACTGCGTATCCAGCTTGTTTGATTTTATTTTGTCTTTAAGAAAGCTGTATAAACCGGGAGGCGCCTAGACTGCGAAGGCCTTCACTGCACTGTTTTCGCAAATATTAACTATATAATTAACTGTATAATTATACACTTGCACTTAATACAACAGTTGTCGGGTAAAATAACAAGATAAAAATTTATACAAAAAATGTATCCATGGGAATTTATTGATAATAAAGTTTACGATACGAAACTTTCATTACGTTGTATTAGAAATACTCATTTTAAACTGTAACATGACGGGTACCTTTAAGTCAATGTCGTTTTGTGCCAGTATTCAAACATCATGTATCTCATTTACATATAGAAAGAGCTGACGCGCCTGTAATGGTTTTTCTGAATGCCTTCGACATTATTAATTTTATCCCATTTAAACGATATCTTAACTTGAAATAAGCGAATGACCAACAAAGATTGGAGCATAAAAATAGTATACATGTATAAGATATTAAGGCATCAGAGCCTCTACCAAATCTTTCTAAAATATAATTAAAAAAACATACGTTTGACATCGCTTTACTATATAAAAGGCGGCTATTAAAAATTTTGAAGCCATATTACACTATCAAAATCATGTCAAAAGAAAAATTACAAAAAAAACATTAAAATACATACACATAAATTTCTTCAAAACAAACTTGTTTCCTAGTTTCTAAAAGTAAACAAACAGACAGATTGAAAAATTCAGATGTTTTATTACAATCCAATACAACACCAATGCGTTTTGTTCCATGTGAAATAGTTCCCCTTTAGGTTTACCTTTGCTATCTATAGATGAAACGTGTTAACGCATGATTTAAATTTAGCCTGGTTCTTTAATATTTAAATCTCAGTACACTACAGACAGTTGCACAGTCCACTATTTTCATACGGAGATAAGAACACATTGTCCTTCCATTTGAGGAAAATGTAAATACAAAATGTTTTGCAACAATGCACGCAATTCTAAACTGGCCCTGAAGTATAAAGCTGATGAATGTTTAACAAATGTATTTTTTTATAATTATTGACGACTCTCATACTTAGTCAAGTTAGTCGTGTCATGGACTTTTCCAGTGTTTACAGTTTTATGTAAATTGGCTAGTTTGTTATCTGCTTGCTACACCGAGATAATACATAGTCACTGGTTGACCTGGTTTGCACAAAAGAACATGTGGTTATGTTTGTAATACTGTTTGTGACCAGTTGACCTAGCAATGAATGGAAAAGGTGTGGCTAAATGTTCCGCTACGAAAAACCGGAAAGGTCCATTCCACGGTAAGTAGTGCGTCTTATTCAGAATCTTAAAATACTCGGCTGTTTAATTACTGTGCCATACTAGCTCACTTGGAGATGAATATCATTACTTATGTAATTGTCAATTCTTAAATACTGATAGAAGAAAATATATTACTAGAGAGTTTAGTACTTATGTCAATTCAGTCAACTTTTCTATGTTAGTGAATAGCACAGCTAGAAGTAAATTGTTTGAACTTGCAGTATTCTGTAAACAATATCATATCAGCTTTTACGTAACTGATAGCTAAACTTATTTTCATAATGTAACATTTCCGTTTTGATTTATATATATGCTATCTAGTACATTAGTTTATTTTGTGGAACTCTTTTATGATATTTCA